TAGTTGTATCTCTCCCTCTAATAGTAGATCCCCCCTCCTTGTCCCGTGAACGTAGGCTAATTGCCGAACCACGTAAAAGTTGTGTTCTTGTCGTGATTTGTAATAGCTTGTAGGATCCCTCGACAGGTCAGTCCTAGAACTGATGAGAGGAAGAGCCGATATCTCACTTTGATGAGATATCCGCTTTAGATTCTTGTTTCCTTTGAGAGACGGGAATTCTTATCGATCTAATCTCTCTTGTTGTCCTGCCGAAGTGCTGCCGAAATTTCCGCTGCGCTCACCAAATGGTATCAGAGCCAGGTTGGACTTGGGAGCTTGTTCGAAGGATTCGTTGAAGGATTCCTATTTGAAGAATTAGATCGATAACATGGGAGAAACAAGCACATCGGGATCGTCTCTTTCGAAGGCGATACAGAGTCTGAGCATCAATAATACAAAAATTGATGTTCCGAAGTTTGACGGCAAGATCAATTTTGGTTTGTGGAGGTATCAGGTGATGGACGCATTGGATGCACAAAATTTGGAGGAGACTCTTGAGTTACAAGAGAAACCCGCTGATATGGAGGACAAGGTTTGGAAGAAAATGAATAGTAGGGCTTGTGGAGTAATTCGGTCATGCTTGACGCCGGATCTTATTTATGACGTAATGAACGAGACGTCGGCGAAGAGAATGTGGGAAACACTCAATGAGAAGTATCTGACGAAGAGCATTGAGAATCGGCTTCACTTGAAAAAGAGGTTTTACCAATTCAAGATGAAGAGGGGAGTTTCCATTCGGGAGCATGTTAACAACTTCACGAAGCTAATTTCAGATATGGCCAATGTAGATATCATGGTTGAGGATGAAGACAAGGCGATGCTACTATTGTGTTCGTTGCCGGAGGATGATTTTGAAACGTTTGTTCTCACTATGATAAATGGAAGAACTACGGTTAGCTACAAAGAGGTGACCTCAGCTTTGGTGAATTATGAGTTGAGGAAGAGTGATGGCGAACCCTCCGAGAAGGCATCAGGAGATGCATTAGCAGTTCGAGGCCGTGGTCCAAACCGTCGTCCAGGTGATCGTTCAAGATCGAAGTCAAGAGGTGGCCATAGAAATATTGGTAGGAATCAATGTCGCTTTTGCAAAGAAGAAGGACATTGGAAGAACGACTTCTCAAAGTTGAAAGATAAAGCCGGGAAGAATAAAGGAAAAGCTGTACAAGCTTCGGAAGTGAATGTTGTCAAGGCTAGTGACGACAACTCAGATACGGATTCTTCAGGCTATTCTTGCTCTGCATTACCGTCAGTTTGTTACGCTGACTCTACGGAGTGGATGATGGATTCTGGTGCTACATACCATATTTGCCCTAGGAGGGATTGGTTCTCCAGCTTTGAGGAGTTGGAAAGAGGGGATGTCGTGCTCATGGGTAATGATCACGTATGCCCTATTGGTGGTATTGGTACAGTACGGATCCGGATGTGTGACGGGGTGACTCGGGAGCTGAAGGAAGTGAGATTCGTTCCTCAATTGACGAAGAATATCATTTCGCTTGGAACTTTGGAGGCAGCTGGCTATAAGGTGATCTTGGAGAATGCAACTCTGAAGGTCACAAAGGGGTCCATGGTGGTGATGCGAGGTGTCAGGGAAAACAAACTTTACTACTTGAAGGGCAAGACAGTAAAAGGGGGTTTGGCAGCTTCGATTACCACAGAGGAAGATACTACCAGATTATGGCACATGAGATTGGGACACACTGGTGATAAGTCCCTGCAGGTATTGGCGAAGCAGGGGCTATTGAAGGGTGCGAAGACCTGCAAGATGGAGCTGTGCGAACATTGCATACTTGGGAAGAAGACAAGAGTGAAATTCGGCACCGCTATTCACAATACCCAAGGTATATTGGACTATATTCACACAGATGTTTGGGGCCCTTCCAAGCACACATCACTTGGTGGGGCCAACTATTTTGTCACTTTCATTGATGACTATTCCAGGAGGAATTGGGTATACCCGATGAAGCATAAACATCAGGTCCTGGATATTTTTGTGGAGTGGAAAAAGAAAGTGGAGCTGCAGACAGGTAGAAAGGTGAAGACTCTACGTTCAGATAACGGTGGAGAGTATAAGAGTGATCCATTTCTGCAGTTTTGCCGGGATCACGGCATTAGAAGACACTTCACAGTTCGAGAGACACCGCAACAGAACGGGGTGGCTGAGAGATTGAACCGTACCTTACTGGAGAAGGTGAAGGAATGTCACATTTGACGAGGCGTACATGATGAAGCCTCAAGTTCCTCAGCAAGTGGAGGAAGACCAGACAGTTGGGATATCACAACAGGTGGAGGATGATATGACTCCACCCACTCCAGATAGCATTGTATCCATTGAGGATCCTACAGAGGTGACACTAGAAGGAGATGGGATGACAGTCGGGCATTTAGAGGATATAGTGGATGTTGGGACTCAGGAACAGGGTCATGTTCAGGAGTCCATTGCAGCTAATAGACCAAGAAGAAACATTCGTCGGCCAGCTAGATATAACGATGTCATGGTTGCATATGCTTTATCAGCAGAAGTCGTTGATGATTTGGTTCCTTTTACATTCAAGGAAGCAGAGTCAAGCTCTGATTCGAATAGGTGGAGGGAAGCCATGGAGGAGGAGATGCAGTCTCTTCATAAGAACGACACTTGGGAACTTGCAAAGCTACCGAAAGGTAAGAAGGCTATTGGATGTAAGTGGGTGTATGCAAAGAAAGAGGGATCCTCTATTGGGGAAATTAGATTCAAAGCCAGATTGGTTGCCAAGGGATATGCACAGCTAGAGGGCGTTGATTACAACGAGGTATTTTCACCTGTTGTGAAGCATTCGTCGATTCGTATTTTATTGGCATTGGTGGCACAGCTGGATTTGGATTTGGTCCAGATGGATGTGAAAACAGCCTTTCTACATGGAGATTTAGAAGAGAAGATTTACATGACACAACCTATGGGATTCAAAGCTGCAGGAAAGGAAGAATTGGTATGTAAGCTGAAGAAGTCTCTTTACGGATTGAAGCAATCGCCGCGACAATGGTACAAGAGATTGGACGGCTTTATGATTGGCCGAGGGTACAGGAGGAGCCCATATGACCCGTGTGTTTACATGCACAAGTTACAGAATGGTGAGTATATCTATTTGCTGTTATATGTTGACGATATGCTCATAGCTTCCAGGAACACTTCAGCCATTAGAAAGTTAAAAAATGAGCTGTCATCCGAATTTGAGATGAATGATCTTGGAGAAGCAAAGAAGATATTGGGTATGGAGATCGAGAGAGATGGGGTGAAGGGGAGGTTGAAGTTGACACAGAGGAGTTACTTGCAGAAGATGCTGAAGAAATTCAGTTATGATGACAATTTATGGTGTGTACAATGTCAGATTTGTCACAGGCTGTAAGCATGGTATCGAGGTACATGCACGACCCCGGGAAGGGTCATTGGGAGGCCGTGAAGTGGATTCTACGGTATATCAAAGGTACCGTGGATGTTGGTTTGGTATTTCAGAAGAATGAGAAGACAGGGCAGGATTGTATTGGTTACGTGGATTCTGATTATGCGGGGGATCTGGACAAGCGCCGGTCTACTAGCGGATATGTGTTTACACTAGCAGGAGCATCGGTGTGTTGGAGATGCACACTTCAGTCTACAGTGGCTCTCTCCACTACGGAGGCAGAGTATATGGCGTTGACTGAAGCTGTGAAGGAGGCTTTGTGGTTGCAGGGATTATTGGAGAACTTGGGGATTGCACAGGAGACCCTTCGGGTATATTGTGATAGCATGTCGGCTATCTATTTGGCGAAGAACCAAATTTATCATGCACGCACGAAGCATATCGATGTCAGATTCCATTTTGTTCGTGACGTTTTGGATGAAGGAGACGTCATGTTGGAGAAGATCCACACGAAGGATAACCCTGCAGATATGTTGACCAAAGTTGTTTCAGGTGTCAAGTTTGGTCATTGTTTGGAGCTTTTGAACATTCTTCGGTGTTGAGGCCTTTCGAGGCCATTTGGGTGAACTACGTTCGGCTTGATTCCTTGGGCAAAAGGATACGTAGGCAGTCATGTTTGATTCAGCCGGTTTGGATTAGTTGATGGGGGTGAGATTGTTTGGCCTCTCGTTCGGGTCCTCGACTTGTTATCGAATGAGTGGGACATTTGGTTTGGTTGGTGTCGGCTCAGTTTTGGAAGAAACTTCACCGAGGTGGAGAATTGTGAACGTGGGGGTCTCACACCCATGTCCACCCATGTCCATGATTGGACAATTGCAGAGGGCCTACCCGCATGTGCAGCGGATGTTTTTTGTTTCTTAGACCAGCCCACCCGAAACCCAAGATAGCTTTATAAAAGGCTTGTGCCTAGGGTTTCGTGTTTTTTTTAGGGGCTAAGGCTGTGAAAGAAGAGGGCGGTTGTGTGCTAGGCTGGGATTCTCTTTGCGGCTACAGAGAAAAACGTGGGACGCAAGAGCAAGGGGCAGCGGCTGATTTGTGCAAGGCTGGTGGTTTGCTTCAACGGCTGCAGGAGAGAGAAAGTGCAGTCTTTTTTGTTTCTTTTGAGAGAGATTTTGTAAGAGGGATTTGAGAGTTTGTTTGAGAGGGTTTAGATTGTGAGATTGTAAACCCTAGTTGTATCTCTCCCTCTAATAGTAGATCTCCCCCTCCTTGCCCCGTGGACGTAGGTTATTTGCCGAACCACGTAAAAGTTGTGTTCTTGTCGTGATTTGTAATAACTTGTAGGATCCCTCGACAGGTCAGTCCTAGAACTGATGAGAGGAAGAACCGATATCTTACTTTGATGAGATATCCGCTTCAGATTCTTGTTTCCTTTGAGAGACGGGAATTCTTATCGATCTAATCTCTCTTGTTGTGCTGCCGAAGTGCTGCCGAAATTTCCGCTGCGCACAACAAAATGTGCCGTAAAACGATCAAATACACTGTCAACCGGATATATAGAGGTTAAATGTTATTTGTACATGTATTTTAAAGAATCCACAGCCAAGGTCACAAAATGACTCAACAGACACAAAGGGAGCAGAGCCCTCAACTCAAAATGACAAGCTTATACAAAAAAAAGGAAATGAAAAAAAAATGCAGGAAGAGGCCTTCTCAAAACCGTACTAAAATTATGATAAATTGAAAACAACAAACAAAGAACTCTTATCCACCACCCTCATTTGCTTTTGGGATTTCCTGTACATTTTTTTACGTGTTTTGTTATGTTATATATTCTCTTACGGCAGTGCAAAATCTCAAAAGCTCTCCCTGCTCCTTTCTCCTTATCAATTTAAATAGCAGTTTATATAGTTTCTCATTCCACATCTTTGATAGAACTAGTGATATCAGTTCCATTAGAAAATCCCGCAGCATTCGGAGATGTTGACGGACTAAAGTGGTTGTTCTCTTCACTTCCATGAGTCCTGGATCTGCCAGGCCGGGACCTAACATTGGTCCCAACTGGAAATGGTTCCTGCATAGTTAAGAGCAATAAAAATAAAAATATGCAGTGTTACTGTGATAAATTAGAGATTGATTAGAGTTTGGGTTTTTATCTAGTATTGGTTCTCCAAATTATATTTATTTTGGAAATAGGTCCCTAAAGAGATGGATTTATAAAATAAGTATCCCAAATCATCTAAGTTACACCATATTAGTCCATGTGTTTTCTGTTAAAATCCAACTCTGGAAGAGAGAACTGGGAGAGATAACCATCCATTATCTTAACTATGGGAGAGTTAACTATACATTAGAATTGTGATAATGGGAATTTTTTGAATTGGCTGATCTATTTCAAAATAAACATGATGTAGGGGACCAATATCAGGACAATTCCTATAGTTTTTACCGCAATGATGATACTAAGGGATGACAATTGATCAAGCTCCCGGGGTGTATATTGCTTGTCCTACATTTAACCTGCTCAGCCCTCATTTGAAGGATCATAGCCTTCTAGATCCACTTTGACTTTTTTCATTTCTTCTCTTTTTTCGTAGTACTAAATGAAGATGACTACTAAATATGCCATTGAAGCAAAATAAAAGTCCAAAGAAAGTAAGATTTTGGAGAATTTTTAAATGAGTAACTTGACGAAGTATGAAAACATATATCAAGGAGTAAGATGGATCTACAGCTGTGAATTGTGAAAGTAACACCGAGTTCCAAGCAAGAGTGCCACTTTACAACCAGTTACATTGGGAATTTCGGAACATATATTAAATATACTAGAGTTCAAATATGTAATCACATTAGGTTGATTTGATGATCCTATCATTATTTTAGTTGAAGGGATTTATCATAGTGAAATCAGGTCCCCAAGGAAAATTCATATACAATTATTAAACAGACTACAAGCAAGAGTGCTAGTTTTACCGATGCATGATATAAATCTACTGAGGCTGCATATCTGACAATATTCGACCATAACACATGAAATATGGCATGAAATGACAGTATTACTACCTGATCCCCTGCATTTGGACCATCTGAGTGGAAAAGAATAGGACGACAACGTTTATCCTCATTCATCAAGCTTGAATTTTGAAAATGAGCAATAAGTGCAGTTTTCCCTTGAATTCTAGCATAGGCAAGCGATGCAACCTTTTCACTGTTGAATTTCTCCCATTTTTTACCATTGAATGCCTGCCAAACATTAACTTGCTCTTTTCAGTATTTTTCTTGACTGTTTCTTTTCAGACATAAAAGCCAACTAAAATATCCATTAGGATGAAATATATAAATATAACCCGTTATTGAAAATGTACCGTTAATGAAAATGCATCATATTCATCAACACTAGAAAAATATATATGTTATGAACTTAATCTTTTTCATCGCAGTAATTCTCAGAATAGAACCTGAAAGAAAGGAATGATCTGCTTAGGGTCAATCATGTTGATGAAAGCATAACCCACATTGCACTTGTTCTGAAAAAGGAGAAAAAAAACAACAATTAGCAACCACATGTTGAAGAGATCACAATGCTTCTTGATAAGAAGTACAGCTACCTTAAAATCGATAGGCAAATAAATAAAATCATAAGTTCCCTTGTGATGCTCATCAATAGCAGCCAAGAGCATCTTAGAAGTGTACCTGTCCATCAAATTCAGGCCAATTGAAATTAAATAAACAGAATCATCAGAGAATATAAGTTCTATAGGCTATCTTTACATACTTGTTTGGGATGTTCTTAATCATCAAAGTAGTTCGAGAATCTTCAGCACGTATGATGCGTTCAATATCAAGTTCATATTGTTTCTTATTATCTCCCTGATTTGCATTTGGATCACTCCTCCGGCTCCTAATCCGATCATGAGGAGAATCAAAAGAAGCAGGCATTGGAATTATTTGATTTCTCCCTTGGAACATGCGACACCTTTGTTGAGGTGAAGGAATCCCAACTTGCTCGAAGCAGCTTCCTCCAGAATGAGGAAAGATGTTATGAGGATCAAGTTCAAGTGGGTGAGAAAATCTCATGCTTCCAAGAGAACCCGGATGAAAACTTGGTGCATCGGTGAAATCTCCAATATATGTTTGCCTACGGTCCCAAAGAGAAGGATTTACAGCAGGAGCTGAACCCACATGATGGGGATGCAAGGGTAGGACATTATTCATTATATGAGATGGTGCTCTTCGAATTCCATGCATTTGTGGATGGTGATGAGATGGAACATTGTTCATAAATGATGGTGAAGTACCCCAAATACCAGCAGATTGGTGAGGATATGGATTGCTGTTGTTCCAAATATTTGGGTGTCCATGGACAGGGCAACTGCCATTTCCTGGAAAGAAAGATTCTTTTAGTTACAGAAGGCAACTGAAAATAAACTTAACCATGTACATGGAATGATAGTGAAATTTTAGCCCAAATTATGATAGGTCAAATGACCAATGTGCATTCAGATATTGTTATCACGATCAACTCATGTACCTGAGAATCAAGTCATCACATAGTGAAGAGTTCTTAATGATGTATTTTGACTAAAGATGGTGTATGAATCTAAACCATTCATCACAATCAGAATCTCAAATATGTTTACTATCACTGGATGCATTTGTATCGTTTACTTTGTAAGTAGAATGAATGCAATTTTGTTAAGATAAAGCTAGCAAAGTAAACGATGTTTTGATATGTCACATGATTTGAGACCATAAGAAAATGCGGATTTTGTGTCTGATAACACAACATTGTGTCCATATTAACACAAATTAGCAAAAATCATGTATTGTTGATTGTACAAACTACAACAGTAGAGAACCTACTAAGCAATAATAATAATCACAATATATAAAGTATAAGTGAGTTTTTTCTGCACTTACCACCTTCTAACGAGTGACTAAGACTTCCAGACCCTGCTCTTTGAATGTATCTACTGTCAATTCCCTCACCTGTTCTAGGGTTGATATTGATAGCCATGGCTGGCATAGCATTCGAAGAGTTGTACTGGACACCACTAGACAACCCATCATGATATTCAGGGAGTGAATGAGGATGCATAATTGGCATACCTTGAAATCCAAATTTCACTTGTCCAAAAGAATGGCCATTCTCACTATTCAATGATGAGTTACTGTGATTGCTTCTTGACGTAACTCTGACTGGAAAGGACAAATTATGAACTAAACCTGATGGGATTCCATGAACTGCAGAATCCAGTAATGGGTTGATTGGTGCTCTAATTGCAGAACGTAGGCTATGGTCGGTTCCATCATTAAAATCAGATGTAACTGCCCTTAGAGGAACTGAACCTAGAGATACCAATGGTAGAATCAGAAATGGTCAAAAATACTATCCAATTTATATACAAAATCCTAAGAGTAAAAGAGACAAAAGAAGTCATTTATGGGCCAGTACTAAGCTAAAGAGCATACCATAGAATCCCGGTGGTGAGCTGCTAGGAGAGATGCCCTGCCTGCAGCCACTTGATTCTTCCAGCTCCAACTCTGTGGAAAGCTGTGGCATCAAGCTCCTGATGAGGAGAAAAATTCCAGTGAGCAAAATCATAATTTATACAGGAATCTGCAAAAAAGGAAAACAAAAACCACCTACGAGGATGATTGATTATTATGTTTTCGTGCAGAAACAGTAGTAAATGACCAGGTGGGCTTGCAAGCAATAAAAAGAACAGTGTTCATAATATGGACTAAAAAGCAAAGAATTATTCATAGGTAATAAAAAAGCATGTAAATATCCACATATGAAAGGAGAAAGGAGCTTCCTTAACTTTTCAATGAGGAATAAACTGAAATAAAGATATTGCCCACCCTGAAATCATCAGAAACTGGACTGTTGCATCTAATAGCTAAATTAGAAAATCCTGGCAAGAATATATGTTATAATCTCTTGGAACCAACTGATTACTTGTATTATCCTGTATACACGTGGTGACTATCAATTATCAAGTAACACAAGAAACACTCAGGACCATGCATAAATTATTCTCTGTAAATAAAGCCTTCCGAGCATAAACATCATCACTGTCACTAGTTAATTGCTTCCTTCTCACAGTCCCTCTTACAGAAATACCCAAGATTTAGAAGTGGAAGGAAGAAATACTGGGTACTTAAATTCTGCCTAGGCAGTCTAGGCGATCGAGCCTCATCTATCGGGCATATGCTCAAACACTAAATGTTAGTAACACCATGTATATATTAATGGTGAGAACTGACATGAATATTTTGAACAAAACTGTGGTACCTTCGATGCAAATGAAAAAAGGATATATCTTTTAATTCCTTTAAGGAAGAATGATATAATAATGTATTGAGATGCTCAAAGAATAGAACATAAATGAGATTGACACACTGCAGACTTCATATACAAAAAATATAACATAACTTGCAATATCATGTTGCAATTGTGAATTAATCAATTAAGTCAGGTGATTATACAAATTCACGCACACACATGGAACACAGACTTAAGAGTGTTTCAAGGAAAAATTCTCAAAGCACGGATTTTCTTTTATGGTGTTATGAAGGAACTTTTTGTAATTAATAAATGTTATTCAGATAAGTGAAAAATAATTATAATTTAGTACCGGTATTCCCGAAGCATCACTTCTGACATGTATAATATCCATCAGAAACAATAGACGGCAATAGCAGACTACGTGACCATCGAGATAACAACCAGATGATCTATGAAAACCATCAAGCATAATATTTCACTATAGTTATCAAAAGATACCAAAAAAAGAATGGCAAAAGATGATAGTCAGCACCAAAATTTAAAGGCACTAACTGAGCTTAATGATGTAAGGAGCATGTGCAAGAATATCAAAAGGATAATTTGATAAGTGAGACTGCAAAGACAATACCACTGTTTCGCACCCTCTGGACGGCTCGGCTCAACCTTAATTTTCTTGCCAGCAACATCACTCCTGTTTAAACCACGAAGAGCCGCATCTGCATCTCTAACATCATAGAACTCTATGAATTTATGGTGGTTCTTGTGTGGTGTTTCACAAATCTGTCAAAGAAAAAAGGTATACTTAAATATAATCAATGCAAGTACAATCTCTGGGTAGTGTTAAGAAAGATTAATATTAGACGTTAAAGTTATCTTGCCTCTTTGATTTCTCCATAAACACCAAATATTTGATGGAGATCATCATTTGAAATAGAAGAATCGAGATTGAATACAACAAGTGTCCCTTGGTTGTCTTTGTCTGAAGGATTGTCCTGATTACAAGGTGGTGAAAGTGAGGATAAGTATACACCACAGGCATGAATGTAGTAATTAGAAACACAGTGTTAGTCATATAAAATGTGAAGAGCATGTTTGTAAATGCACATGCAAGAGGGAATTGATGATTTATGCTATAATCAGAAAGAAAGTAAGGGAGAAGTCAATATTGAGAAGACCGTGTGATAATTATTTTTATGTTACCATCCTCTTCACTATATTTAGTTTTTCGTAACTCATATTCTAATAAAATAAGACATCCATCTTGTAACTGCAATAGATAAATTAGTAACACAGATTGGTCAATGTTCAAGAAGCTATCAGTTCACTAGACCTAAAAGCTAAGTTATTTGACACCTCATCCAGGCTCCCATACCTGCTCCGACAATTCCCGTATCCATATCCGACCATGACACTCCTTGCACACACTCCTTGAATATATGCATACATTTATTCAGATATGTACTCAAATATACAACACATGATTTAGTTAAAACATTTGTCATACAACTCTTGGATGTATATTTTACACTTCAGGTACACTTCCTGCAACTCACTGGACATGGATCATATTTGTTTCAGCTCATGCGCAGTTCAGGAGTATGATTTTAAAGGGTTGTTTGATTTATATTTTACACTTCACATCCACTTCCTGCAACTCGCTAGACGCAGAGCAGGTTGGTTTCAGCTCAAGCTCAAGAAACGAGTGATTTTTCAATTTATAATCTACTAAATAAAAGAAACAGAATACTGTCATGGGAATTTTTCTCATAATATGTGAATGAAAACATAATATGAATGTCATATAAATTATTAATTTCAATATGTATATATGATATTTATAGATGTGTCCCCGTATCTTATCTTTTACAATTTTTTCGTGCGTGCAACATAGCTTAAAAGGCTATGGCTATGAAAGTTTCTATTTTTCTCCTTTAAAATAATGATGTATTAAGCACAAATGTAAAAACAGGACCTCTTATAGCTTCACCACTTTGACCAGTTGCTAGTGCCTTATACCTCTGTTACGATTTTGTCTTAGCATAAACCCTTCTAAAAGAAATTTGGTATAACATTAAATGCACAGATTGAAATCTAAAATGGATTTAACCTTCAAATGTATCTTTATAAGAGTAATTGAAAATCTAAAAACATCTTTCAGGTTGATTAGCCAACGCAAAAACTAGAAAGAAGGGAGGAATCCTTCTAAAATATATAACTTGATGCAAGCTAAATGTGTTAGTCTAAGGTGTAGACCCAAAGTTCGAGATGAAAGCTGGAATCAAAAGCTCAGAAAAACACGCAGACAGATCGGCGGTCGACTGGGTCGGTCGACCGCAAACGTGCACAGGAGCAAAGGAGGGCTTGGATCAGGTCGCGGTCGCGGTCGACCAGGCCGGTCGACCGCCAAACTCTCTGGAGTCTGTTCGGTCGACCGGGCCGGTCGACCGGACGTAGTTTTGGCAGTTTTCTGTTTCGTTTGGGATTCTGTTTCAACCAGGATTCTATATATACCCCCAAACGATTTTAGGGCTTGTACTACATCAAAAAGAGAACTTTTTGACTGCAAAGAGAGAGAGAATCTCAGAGAGATTAACCCCCTGTTTGAGAGCTTGTATTTTCTTCTTCAATTAATAAAGAGATTGTGTGGTGTGGCTCCCGAGGACGTAGGCACGTTGCCGAACCTCGTTAAATCTGTGTGTTCATCTCCCTTACTGGTTTTTGCAAGTTAGATCTTTATTTGTGGTTTTATTCCTACTTTCCTACTTTCAACACAAGGTCCGGAAGGGCAAGGTTTCGATTGATTGTTTCGAATCCCCAACAACTGGTATCAGAGCTTCGTTCAGCAATTTATGTGAAAGAGAGTCATGGCAGAGGAAATCAAATCTAAGATTGAGAAGTTTGACGGTTCGGATTTCGCCTACTGGAAGTCACAGATGGAGGACTATCTGTACCAGAAGGACTTGTATCGCCCGCTGATGGGCAAGGAAAAGGGAAAGAAGAAAGAGGAGTCAGATGGTGATTGGGAGGTACTGGATAGGAAGGCTCTAGGACAAATCCGGTTGTCGCTCGTCAAATCAGTAGCCCACAATATTCTGAAGGAGAAGACGACGGTGGGGCTTATGGAAACGCTCGCGAAGATGTACGAGCAACCGTCGGCGGCAAACAAGGTGCATCTAGTCAAAACTCTTTTCAACCTCAAGATGGCAGAAGGACGGTCCTTCACGATGCACCTCAGCGAGTTCAACACGATTGTTGATCAACTTATCTCCGTGGACATCACGTTCGATGACGAAGTGCAGGCCCTTCTACTACTATCGCAGTTGCCGGATAGTTGGGCAGGTTGTGTGACGGCAATCAGCAATTCGGCGGGGAAAGAGAAGTTGAAGCTGAATGAGGTTGTTAGCATGATTCTATCCGAGGAGGTTAGAAGAAAATCGTCCGAATCAGAAGGTTCAGGTTCAGCCCTAAGTTTCGAGCAGAGAGGCAGAAGCCAGAAGAAAGGGAACCAGAACAGGAATCGGTCGAAATCAGTGAAGAAGAGGCCGAACTCGAAGGTTAGGTCTATCAAAGGGAAGTGTTGGAACTGCGGCCAGGAGGGCCATATGTCTTCGATCTGTAAAGCACCAAAGAAGGATACGGGTGAGCAGGAGGCTCATATCGTGCAGGATGCCTTGATCATTGCTATGGATAGCGACTCTGATTCTTGGGTCATCGACTCAGGAGCATCTTTCCACGCCACTGCTAATAGGAAACTACTTCAGAACTATGTAGCAGAGGACTTTGGTAAAGTATACTTGAGGGATAATGAACCTTGTAATATTGTTGGAAAGGACGACGTTCAGATACAGATAAAGGGCTCTAAGTGGAATTTGAAGAACGTGAGACACGTGCCGAAGCTGAAGAGGAATCTTGTTTCGGTGGGACAGCTTGGAGCAGAAGGCTACGTTTCGACATTCACCGGGGATTCGTGGAGAATCTCCAACGGTACGATGATTGTTGCCCGAGGCAATAAAACAGGAACTCTCTACCTCACTTCACATGCGAGTGACACCCTCGCAATTGCAGCTGGCAAGGAGAGTACAGATCTGTGGCACAATAGGCTGGGGCACATGAGCGAGAAAGGGATGAAAATTCTACATTCACAAGGAAAGCTAACCGGGATCGACACCGTGGAAGTCGGGGTTTGTGAAGACTGCATCTTTGGGAAGCAGAAGAGGGTTAGTTTCCAGAAGGGTGGAAGGCCACCTAAGGCTCAGAAGCTAGAGTTGATTCATACAGATGTATGGGGCCCAGCCAGTGTGTCTTCTTTTGGCCGTTCGAGATACTACGTCAATCAGATAATGGTGGAGAATACGAGCTGTAGGAGTTCAAGAGGTTCTGTGCTACGAATGGGATTCGCTTAGAGAGGACTACTCCAGAGATGCCGCAGAAGAACGACATTGCAGAAAGAATGAATAGGACCTTGACAGAGCGTGCGCGGAGCATGCGATTACATGCAGGTCTGCCTAAGACATTTTGGGCGGATGCGGTGCATACGGCAGCATACCTTATTAATCACGGGCCATCAGTTCCATTAGATTTTGGGATTCCAGAGGAGGTTTGGAGTGGAAAGAAGATAAATCTCTCACACTTGCGGGTATTTGGTTGCGTGGCTTATGTTCATATCAGTGACCATGTCAGGGACAAGCTAGAAGCTAAGTCACAGAAGTGCACATTCATTGGATACGGCATTGATGAGTTCGGGTATCGTCTTTGGGATGAAAAGAACAGGAAGATCATCAGGAGCCGGGATGTGATATTCAATGAGAAGGTGATGTACAAGGACAGGGATAATGCCAAGGATAGCCAAAGCAGTGGGAGCAACACTGCGGATACAGGTGAATCCGAGTACATGGATATAGAGAAACTTTCAGATAGGGACGACGATGTCAGTTCTGACCGTAGAACGGAGGAGACTACAGGTGCAGAAGCTACTACCCAGGGCGTGGAGCCTAGGAGGTCATCTAGGGTACCCAAACCAAATCCCAAATACCTCTCGTCACTTGATTATCTACTCTTAACAGATAGCGGAGAGCCGGAGTGTTATGAAGAGGCAGTGCAAGTGAGTGAATCTCAGCAGTGGGAGCATGCGATGCAGGAGGAGATGGATTCTCTACTCACTAATGAGACATGGGAGTTAGCCCAGCTACCTGCACAGAAGAAAGCCTTGCACAATAAATGGGTCTACCGGGTCAAGCAGGAGAGTGATAGAAGCAAGAGATTCAAGGTCAGATTAGTAGTGAAAGGGTTTCAACAGCGGGAAGGAGTGGACTACACGAAGATATTTTCCCCTGTTGTGAAACTCAACCATCAGAGTGGTGTTGAGTTTGGTAGCTGCAGAAGACCTCTTCCTTGAACAGTTAGATGTGAAGACTACCTTTCTTCATGGTGACTTGGATAAAGAAATCTACATGAAGCAGCCTGTTGGCTTCATTGAAGAAGGAAAGGAAGAGATGGTGTGCAAGCTCAAGAAGAGCTTATATGGTTTGAAACAGACTCCGAGACAGTGGTATAAGAAGTTTGATAACTTCATGCAGAACAATGGCTACAGAAGATGCAATTCGGATCATTGCTGTTATTTCAAAAGGTTCGAGTCCAGCTTCATTATTTTGTTATTATATGTTGATGACATGTTGGTAGCAGGACCGTGTTTAGAAGAGATAAACAGTTTAAAGAGGCAGCTAGCAAAGAAATTTGCAATGAAGGATCTGGGTGCAGCGAAACAGATTCTAGGGATGCGAATCAGTAGGGATGAAGCTGAAGGGACATTGAGATTGAGCCAAGCTGAATACATTGAGAAGGTACTTCAGAGGTTCAACATGCAGAATGCTAAAGTTGTTAGCACACCTCTTGGAAGTCAGTTCAAGTTATCTGAGGTGCAATCGCCTAAGACAGATGCAGATAGAGAGCATATGAGTAGGGTGCCATATTCTTCGGCCATTGGGAGTCTCATGTACGCGATGGTTTGCACGAGGCCGGACATCGCCCATGCAGTGGGAGTTGTGAGCAGATTTGCAAGCAATCCAGGGAAGCAGCATTGGGAGGCCGTGAAGTGGATAATGCGATACTTGAGAGGGACAACAAACAAACCACTATGTTTCAGAAGGAAGGAGTTGGTGCTGCAGGGATACGTGGATGCGGACTTCGCCGGTGATCATGATACGAGGCGAAGCACCACTGGGTATGTTTATACCTTAGCGTCGACAGCAGTGAGCTGGGTCTCACGTCTGCAGAAGATTGTGACTTTATCTACAACCGAGGCTGAGTATGTCGCGGTGACTGAAGCAAGCAAGGAGATGATCTGGTTGAACGGGTGCTTGGAAGAGTTGGATCTGAAGCAAGGGAGAGGAGTTCTTTATTGTGATAGCCAGAGCGCTATACATCTTGCCAAGAATCCAGTATATCATGCCAGAACAAAGCACATCGACGTCAAATACCATTTTATACGCTCGCTGATCGAGGACGGAAAGTTGCATTTAATGAAGATTTTGGGAAGTCAAAATCCGGCGGACATGTTGACGAAGGCAGTCACCATTGAGAAACTGGAGTTGTGCGTAACTTCAGTTGGCCTTCACGAGTAGAAGACGAAGGCGGAGCCACACTACGAGGATCGGCGAGATCGCCGGGATATTGTTGATTGAAGGAAGAATTTTTTCGGGGGAAAAGATACATGCGAAGAAGGGGAGAGTTCGGGGAAACTCATTGCAGGCGCTTTGGTCTCCAAGTGAGAAATTGTTAGTCTAAGGTGTAGACCCAACGTTCGAGATGAAAGCTGGAATCAAAAGCTTAGAAAAACACGCAGACAGATCGGCGGTCGACCGGGTCGGTCGACCGCAAACGTGCACAGGAGCAAAGGAGGGCTTGGATCAGGTCGCGGTCGACCGGTCCGGTCGACCGCCAAACCCTGTAGGAGAAAACTGCTCTCGGGTTTTGATTTCGGTCGACCGGGCCGGTCGACCGCCAAACTCTCTGGAGTCTGTTCGGTCGACCGGGCCGGTCGACCGGACGTAGTTTTGGCAGTTTCCTGTTCCGCTTGGGATTTTGTTTCAACCAGGATTCTATTAATACCCCCAAACGATTTTAGGGTTTGTACTACATCAAAAAGAGAGCTTTTTGACTGCAAAAAGAGAGAGAATCTCAGAGAGATTAACCCCTTGTTTGAGAGCTTGTATTTTCTTCTTCAATTAATAAAGAGATTGTGTGGTGTGGCTCCCGAGGACGTAGGCACGTTGCCGAACCTCGTTAAATCTGTGTGTTCATCTCCCTTACTGGTTTTTGTAAGTTAGATTTTTATTTGTGGTTTTATTCCTACTTTCCTACTTTCAACACAAGGTCCGGAAAGGCAAGGGTTCGATTGATTGTTTCGAATCCCCAACAAAATGAATTCACCAGACACCCTATTTTATTCCCCGAAAGTTCTGATATATATTGGCTAGCCACAAGACAAGAAACCTATAACATGTCCCCTCCAGAAAAACCTCCACTATTCACCCTCAACATAGTAAAGCAATCCCATTATGCAAATAGATGTAAAGTTTTGCAAGACTGTTCCTTTTAGATAAATATAACAAAATGTACCCAAAATTATGAAAGACCCAAACCAGTCAGTGTCTAACAAACTGCCAAGAGCAATTAAAGAGGGGCCTGGCGCTACAAAATTGATTGACATAATGTGGTCCATTCCTCAGAATTAATAACACCATATATTTGCATGTCTCTTGGCATCATACATTAGCATGCATGAGCATTGATCTGACATCCGGACATTGCCTTGTATAAGTATTTTCCAAGTTTCTTAATTTTATGTGGCTGGTGACAACTGTTTTGGGTACAATATCAACATGCAGGTATAAGTTATGAATCCATCACAATAGTCATTTAGTTTTAGCTAAATCTTACAATGTATCAGCATCTATCACTTGAGCAGATATACATTGTTTCCAGACCAATCATGCTAATATTCACAAGAACATTCACCACTAGTAAACGACGTACTTGAATGATAAGTATGGATCATTTACAAGCATGAAGCATAATGTATCTCTAGGTCTAGATAAAGAAAACTATTTCAGTAAGAAGTGAAGAAGAATATTTGAGAAATCCTACACGTATAAGTTAGAAGAATAGGCATAAAGTAGTTACCTTTGGGATAGAAAAATGTATGTCCAGCTTCCAACCCCTCAATGGCTTGTTCTGTAGTGATATCATGGCATTTTGTGATGCTCTTATGTCATAGAAAGATATCATAACAAACCCACGATTTTTGCAGGCTGTATAAAGAGTGTGAATATCCCCATATTGCTGAAAAAGAACAAAACAGACAACAATATTGCATAAGTTTAATGGGACAGAATACAAAAATTGACAGACTGAGAGAATTATCATACGAGAGAAAAAGGGGAAAAGAATGTATACCTCGAAAAGCATCTTTAACTCGGTATCCTCAACGTTTCCATTAATATTTCTCACAAAAAGGGTTCTTGAAGGGTGTTCACCATATGGATGCTCACCAGCAAATGGCCTATTAATCCCCCCCAGAAGACCATTAGAGCTATCACCATTAACAAGATTAGAAGAACTATTACAATTATCATCTCCTTCCAGTTCCATTCCTCCTCCAGTGCAAAATATATCATCCTCAATATCATCCCCACCGTAGGCTTGAGAAACACCAATGCCATCAATAAGCCCAGAAAGCAGATCATCATCATCAGGTAGAAGGTTCCCAATAGTTTGTGCTTCAATTTCTTCCAAAGATCTGAAAGGCTCTCCTTCCTCAGGGTTGGAATTGACATGATCAACAGACTGGCCAAGATTAGCAACATTTGATGATAGTTTCGCTGCAGAAAATAATAAACAGATCACTTTTTAGAGCACTAAATAAAAACCAAATAAACGTTGAGCTCTAGAATTTAATGGAAGACAGTAAATCGTAGGAGAGAAAGAAGCCACACATTTTCTGTCAAGTAACTCAGACAAAGAGCTTGAGAAAAGGCCATTCTCATATCGGGACCCATCCATATCAACTTTGTTCCCTTCTATGAAAAGAGATGTCGGCAAACACAGGTTAGGTCGAAGTGCAAACTCTTGACTACAAGCTCTCCAAGAAGTCATTGAGGGGTTGATGTTGTTCCCTGCTCCAACCAAGTGCTGCTCTAGAACTGACTTGGTACTTTGGTTTTTAAGTGCAAAGTACCGTGAGAGGTTCTGGCCCTCCACAGACCTTGGTCCCACTGATTGGAGCTTTTCCATCGGAGAAGAAGATAGTGACTTACTCCCTGATATCAATGACATTCCCTCAGTTCCTGTAGAAGAAATATATAATAATTTATCTGTAATCTATGGAAACCAAGAAGAGAGGAAGAAACTCTTGTATTAGAAGACTAAACAACATTCAGGAACAAAGATAAGGTGTAAAAGATGTAGACTATGCATGCTTAAAAAAATTATATAAAACAAGAGTACCCACATTCATGATACGAAGGGAACCCAAAATCTACCTTTTACTGATGGTTCATGAGATAATAAATAGCACCAACCGCCGTCCCAAATAATCCTTAACAGGAAATGAAGCAATAACAATTTCCTTAATAGCAAAGAGTAAAAGGCATGAATGAAAAAACAAGTTTCTAAATTTACTTTTTACAGCAAACAGTAAAGGGCATGAATGAAAAAACAAGTTTCTAAATTTATTTTTTACAAAATGAATAGCCTGAGAGTTGATTTGTAAAGATCAAGCTTCACAAAAAACATTCTAAAATGAGAGAAATCTGGTTGTCGAAATCATATCGGAAAGGCCAAATTGAGTAATTTATTGAAGATGAATGATAGTGTTTCATTAAAATAAGAGAATGATTTAGTTGTTTCATGGTTTATTCCAGATATTAATTGCATTTTCTTCTGCTTCTTCCAAAGATACAGTTAGATAACTGAATTATTGTCTTGAATGACCAGAGAAAAATACATCAGAGTAAACTGAGATGACATTTGCATCGCCAGCGTACGGAACAATTTGACCCTAAATATAGGGTTCGGAAGCCTTCAGCAATGTACTTTACACACATGATTTAATCTAAAACACAGTCTTGTTCATTTGCGCCTGTACTCTCTCTAGACCCATTTCACAATGTTTCAGCCTAGCTCATGAACTGGCAATATTGAATTTTAGGAACAGGCCTCTAGATTTTACCTTTCCCACTTTCAGTAAAAACCTTTCAAATTTGTTCCTAGAAAGCTACAGCAGTAAACCGAATGATTTCTTAATGATTAACTATGCTTTGGACTTACCATGAAAACCAAGTTGGTAAAGCGAAGAAATCACTATCATTCAATTAAGAAAACTCAAGACAGAACAGCTAAGAGAGTAGCTTAAAGAATCTAACCTTGATGATCAGGCCCAATCTCTGGCTTCCAAAACCCAACCTGTCTCTGGACAGACAAACATAAGAAGTGACTCAAATTTTAGAATTAATGCAAATAAAAGTAAGATCTAGAAAGAAATTCCACTTCAAAAATTCATACCTCACTGGGAAACAGGAGCTCCTCCGAAAAGAAAGACAACCTTCGCTGATCCATGACTTCAGATGGCATCCTCGATGCTTCAGACCAAAAAAGCTCAGTAAAGATTCAAATTTTAGACTCAATTTATCTCCTTTCCCTAAATGCCCCCCAAACTTTCAGCTCAGCAGCTTCTTGTCTGACAAGTAAAAGTCTTCCATCAGATCAAACAAATACAGGATACCAAAGTCAAATTCAGCTCGATTCTCTTCAATGTTGCTAGAACATTGGAAGTAGAAAATGCAATTTTTAAACGCAATAGAACAATCCACACTTCAAATCGATTTCATAAGTGAGAACCACAGGTCATGCCATTATTGGAAATTTTCAACCAAAACAGTGGATTGAGAACAGACCACTGAAACTTTTCGGAGTGAAATTCGAAATTCAGCAAAAAGAAACGATATTTCTACATAAACTTCAAATTTCAGGTGATCACAAATTGACAATTCACACTGATTCGACGAGTAAGAAACAAAAGCAAACAATTTTTGGCACTATACAAAAGCAAACAATTTTTGGCACTATAAGGTATCTTATATCTCAGAAGAAGGAAAATAGAATCATGCTGAGTTTCAACAAACTAACACTGAATTTTTGACATAAAGAAGCTGCAAATAACAAAAATAAAAATAAAAAAAATCACCTAGGTCCTCGCCCGCAGCTAAAATTAGTCTAGGGGACAGATAAAGACAAAGGAGAAAAACAAACAGGGTCGTGAATTTATAAAGGGCAGAGGATGAGAGAATAAATTGCGGCTAAAGGCAAGGAGGTGAAGAGAATTTTCACAAAGGGGATTCGTCGAAGAAACCTCTCATCAAAATCCGTGCCGTGCGCGATCGCCCAAAGTCTTCCAAAGCCTCCCCTGCATTACAAGCAACGTTGCTGAGCCCCCTCAACTTTCCCTATTTTGCATTTTCAGTCCAGAAACTCGCGGGGGTGCGGGGGGAGGGAGGATATGGGGAGAACTATAAGGGAGAAGGGCGGGGCGAGGTGATGAATAGTGTGGTTTAATTAGTGGGGGTGAAAAGGCGGTGGAGGGAGGTAAGCGGAGCACCGGATCCAGCCCCTGCTGTAATAGTGTAATCGCAGTGCTGATTTTGTAAATAACTGCGGTTATATAGTAATTATACTCGCGTGTCCCTGTTGTTACATATTGTTTCTTCCGTGGCATTAAGATTTTTCTTAGACTTTTGTCAAGACTTGTTGCAGTTCGAGTTATAATTGAAAACCTTTAAATATGTGCAAGTTAGTTGCCTGTAACTGAAAACCTTTATAATTGTTAAAAAAAAAGTGAGAAAGAGTTCTCCACCGCATTAGTAAACAGTCTCTACTAAAAAAAAGTGGAAACGAGCTCTATCAAAAAAAAAAGAGAGAAAAGAGTTCTTGATTGCATTAATACTTGTTATATTGATCTAGCTAGTTAAAAGATTTTCCAGGCTATAAATTTTATAAGTTACATTTGTATATGAGCTGAGGCGTTTTTATAGAAAATGGCAGAAAGATAAGTTTGAATTTAGATTACTTTATAGGCCTGTTTGGATGGAGGGTAGAGAGGGGGAAGGGAAGGGAAATTTCATTTTAACCTTGTTTGGGAGTTTCATTTTGTAGGGTAGAGAAGGGGAATGGAGGGGAAATTTGGCCCAAATTCTTACACCCCAAATTGGGGTGTAATGGAGGGGAAGGGAAGGAAGGGGAAAAATTCCCCTCCCTTCCCCTCCCTTCCCTTCCCTAAGTAAACTCCCAAACACACCATATGGTTTACAAGCGTATGACGAAAATCCAGCTAGTCGAAACGAGGGGAGTTAGATTTTCGACAAATTTACTCTTGAAATCCATTTAATTGGAAGCATTTTGCAATCGTGGCGTTTTTGTAGTTTCTGTTTTTTTTTTTAAACAACGAACCGCGTTTGGCAACCTGCCGTGCGTTTTTTTTTTTTTTTTTGACTTGACACTTACAAAATCCAAAAAATAAACACTTTTTCTCAAAACATCAAAAAGGTTGTTTTGAGTTTCGCTCTTTCATCTAAGCCGTAGCTCGGACAGCATGGCCGCCGTTCACCCCGCCGCCACCGTCGGCGTCGCCACCCGCCACCACCCGCCACCTGCCCACCGTGCTGGCCCCCAACCGCCGCTCGACCACCGCCAGCCCGGTCGCCCCATCGTCCCGCCGACGTCGACGCTCTCCCGGCCCGACACCGCCCACCTGTCGGCCACCCGCCGGCCACCCGCCGCCTACCGCCGCCAGCCCGTCGCCCCGCCCCGCCGCACTGCCTATATAAATAATAACTATAAATGGTGTTTCAAAAACATATTTTGAAAAAAAAAACACCATGACATTGATGTTTTTCTACACTACAAATAAATTATTTTGATTACCAAACACACCCTAAGTAGCCGATTGGTGTTGGATTATGCGTCACAGTTGCGCGGTCATCGCGCAGCACCGGGATGTAACAAGGCGCGCTGGTTAAGAGAAAGCGTGGCTGGAAGCGGTCAGGGTGCGTATGGCTTTGGGGATTTTAGGGGGCTGCGAAATAAGGTCAGGCCGCAATGAATAAGGTTGGGGGCGGGGGGGGGGCGCATTTTCTCACTGGGCGACGCTCGGGGAAGTGGGCTGGGAGGGCAGAGAATGCTGTGTCTGGATTTGGATTTTACAGATGATCTTGGCGATTGGGATGACCCTAGTGTACTAATTTATCTTGGTAGGTCAAAGGTTGGTATCTAAGTTAAGATTTATGAGTAATTATTTGTTTTGCAAATTAATGACCACATGTGTGACGACTGAAGCCACGTCAAGCTTACACTGAGAAGTGGGCCCATATGTAAGGCAGAGGGTTTTATTATGATTTGAATTGATACTACATTCTGCGTACTGATTTGAATGGATAAATGTGTTTATTGTTCAACGCTAAGCTCAAAGTTCTCAATTTGAACTCTTTAATGAAATAGATATTTGTGAAGTAAGACCCTGAATGATATCATAGATGATTGATCAATAATGGTCCATATGTTCCATGTGCACCAGTAATGAATGAAATAATTTGAGCTGTAGTTGCTTAAACCACAATTAGGAATTGTATATTTTTTTATTTGTAACTCACATAAATTTACCATTTAAAATTTTCCAGTTGTTTAGATAGATTATCGATATGCGGGCCCCTTGTACAAACGCCCACATTGTTATCGTTAAGACATCCTTTCCCAACGGGTTGGGTATTTAGGGAAAAGACTGAAAGTTTGACACGTTAGTCCAAGGCTTCAGTTTGCAAACCCTAAAAAACGTTTTGGCCGAGCTTTGAAAATTAGAAAGGAGAGTGGCGTGGTCCATCCTTAAAACTGGCTTTCCCCGCTTACTTGCACTTCAAAAAAAATTGCTTACTTGCGCTTAAATACCCTATAGTTTTCCATGCTTTGCTCTTATATGCTCTCACATGTTTTTAGTAGCACTTATATACCCTTACTAGCTTTGGCAACACGTATATATACCCTAAAGATTTTAAAATGTTCACTTATACCCCTAAAGTTTGTAAAATTTGTACTTAAATGCCCTCATAATGCAAACTTGATGGTGTTTAAGTGCAACTTTTAAAAATTTTAGGGTATTTAAATGCTAGTTTTAAAACTTTAGGGTATTAAAGCGCAAGTTTTAAAAACTTGAAGGTATGTAGGTGCTACGAAAAACATATGATGGTACATCAGTGAGAATTTTAAAAGTGTTAGGGTATATAAGTGCTACCATAAACAAGTGAGGGTATACATGTTAAAATTATAGAAATTTTAGGTATATAAGTGCTGCTAAAAACAGGTTAGGATATAAGAGCAATGTAAGGGAAATTATAGGGTATTTAGGTGCTATACACTCTAAAAAATAGATCAATATCGGTCTTGTTTTCACAAAACACAAAACAAAAATCTAAAAATAGATTAAGACCTGTTGAGATGATTAATATGTGAGTATAGTGCCACATCACAGAAGATAATAAAAAGTGATAACTGATAATTTTAAATAGGAGTTTGGGTCAATACCTATTAGTTATAGCTTTTGGGTTAAAATTGATTCCTAGTTTATGTCTAAGGCTCATTAACTCTGGATTGGGCCCGATCTTTCCCCCAACAAGACCAATATTGTTTTGTTTTTTGTAGTTTGCCAAATAGACCCTAAGAAATGGGCACATACTTCTCTAACGGGGGAAAACAATCTAGAGATACTCGGGACTTCCTTGCTTTTTATCGAATATAGTTTTTCTAGACCTATTTGGTTATAGGTATGATCAGAGCCATATTGCCTTTATAAATACATATCTCTTAGTATGGTTTTTCTCTTTGGCAGGCACAAAGATGCAATTGTACATTTCATTACAATCTTAGTATAAACCAGTGTACAATGCATCATAAATCAAATGCATTTCCTTAGGCCCCATTTGGATTAAGGTGAATAAGGGAGAAGGGAAGGTACGTGAGACATTCACCTCATTTGGTAGTTATTTATAGGTGACGAGTTCCCCTTAGTTCACCTTATTTATAGATGTTGTACTTTTGTAATTTAGCCCCTCAATAAATCACAATTATAACCTGGTATCTGCACATATAACCCCATGATTATATTTAAATACCCATTAACCCAACTTAATTGATCACTTTAGTGGGTTATTCTGAAAGATAGCAATACACATTGATTAATCATATGTGCCCACAAATAGATTTATTAGATTAAATCCAACAATCTCCCACTTGGGCACCATATGATTCCTTAAATTGTGTATAACCTTATGAGCTCAAAAATTGCTATCACTGAAAAGGTATTTCCGAACAATCTCGTCCATTGACTATATCAATATAGGATCAAAGCGGCATTCGTCACATTTATCGTGACTTGACCCATCAATGGTCACATATACCAATACAATCAAACGACATAGATCAATCATGGATGTGCAGCATGAAAATTACATGCAATGTGATCAGTACATGTCTATTTTCAACTGGTCCTCCTTAGTGAGGTCAAAACCAAACATAATGTAACAGAGTGTCTTAACTGATTACTTTATTCTGATCAGACAATACAACCAAACATAAAGCACCACAATTACAAACTCCCACTAAAACATAATATCCTCAAATAATACCACACTCATATGAGCAGTATGCTCATGAAAGACCTTAGGTGGCAGTCCCTTAGTAAGAGGATCAGCTATCATGGAGTTTGTCCCAATGTGCTCTATAGATATTTGTCCACTCTGTACCCTTTCTTTCATAACCAGGAACTTAATGTCAATATGTTTTGACTTAGTTGAGCTCCTGTTGTTATTGGAATACATTACTGCAGATTTATTGTCACAATATAACCTTAGTGGTCTTTCAACATTTTCCAAAATGCGCAGTCCCGTGACAAAATTTCGCAGCCATATTCCCTGATTGGATGCCTCATAGCAAGCTACAAATTCTGCTGCCATAGTGGAGGAAGCTACTAGTGTTTGTTTGACACTTTTCCATGATATAGCTCCTCCTGCTAACATATAAATGTAGCCTGATGTAGACTTCCTGCTATCTTGGCATCCAGCAAAATCAG